TTCATTTCTCTTTCTGCTACATCAGATAAGGTTTCAGCTTTCGGGGTAAACTTCCCAGGGGAAGATTTATCTTCTCACCCGACACCCCCACATACATGCAACATGTTCCTGATTTGTGGCATTTTGTATTTCTCGGACGAGAAGTGGGAATGATAAAATTCTGTTTTGTTATTCTTTAAAATGAAAACAAGATGGCTGTTCACAGTAATGAAGGTTCCCTGAAAACAAACAAGTGATATTTATTTCTACTGATATTCTTTCGTTTAAAAATAATTTAATGTCTGGACGTAGTGGATCATGGCTCTTTCCGACTTCCTTTTACCATCAGTCATAATCATGAGACCCGCAATGCGTTAGGATTCGTGGGACGCATCTACTTGAACCGTGGTCAGAACGTTATATTTTCGACAACAAATCCGAGGTTCGAATCTGACCGTTGTCGTTTTATAAAGAAGATAACTGCTTGCATATTGTATTCTTATTTCAGTTTACCAGAATGTGAATCACTTTGATTGTTCACAAGAAAGAAACTGCCTTGCCCACTGTTTTAAAATCAGATGTTCTTCTGGCAGTGTTGAATATCTCAATTTGCTATTATGTGTCAATCACGAATTTTGGGTTGGAGATAATAATAATAATAATAATAATAATAATAATAATAATAATAATAAATTGTTATTAAAGACCACAAAAAAAACGGTGCCTCCTTTTTGACTGCAATGTACCTTTGAAGATATTCAAAGAGCTGTCAAAATACAAGAACCTTGAAATAGAAATCTCGAAAATGTGGCATGTAGGAACATCAAAAATCCCTGTTGTAGTTGGAGCCCTAGGACTGGTTAGAAAAGATTGCAGTAGACTAATTGAAGGATTCCTGAAGTCCATGCCTCAAGGAGATACAAAAAAAATTTTTCTGACAAGTACAGCCCACACACTTACGAAGGCCTTTATCTATGTATTTTTTTTTTTTTTTTTTTTTTGTCAGTGGAAAGTGTCATGATGCCATTTCTAACCTTAGGTCCCTGGGCGGGACCCGGAAAGAAATGTGTAAACGCCAGAAATCAAAGATAATAATAATAATAATAATAATAATAATAGTAATATCTAGAAAGACCTACGAACATTTACGGTTTTCCTATGTTAATATGCTGAAGGAATCTTATGCTGAAGTTAATGATCGGCTATATCCATGGCAAGTTCTTTATCCGTAGAAATAACAATCTGTACTGTATTACTGTACTGATGCGGCATTCACCCTGGGCGGATTGAGCCGGCTTCTTCCTGTTATGAGAAGAAGATTCTTGGGATAAATTACAGAAGTAGGGTACCCAGGCCTACTCGGATAACGTTCTTGCTTGCCGCGGGGTTCCCACAGACGCAGAGACAGGAAAGACCAGAAGCCGCCGGTTACCGATGCAGACGCTCCTTGGATTTTCACCAGAGCCCTTGTTAGCCGGCGTGTGTGTCAGACCTGTCCGCCTTGGGTGGCCCTACCAGGAACGAAGTTCCGGGCGGCATAGCTCTGACACTACCGTTTACACCCCCCACCGACAGAAATAACACTCTGGCAACATTGAATAATTGAGCTTAACAAATTTAAAAACAAATTGCAATGTCAATCATTAATTTGAATGCTGGGGTCACTTCGACCTGGGGTAATGGTTAACAAGCTTGTCTCGTTGAATCTATTAAGACTAAATAGTTTCGGCCTTGTGCCACATCTAAGCTACGCTTAGAAAATCAGTATAATTATGAATGCTGGCCGTTATTTTAAAATTGAAAACTTTCTTCCATTTTACTAAAACATGTTAAATACGTCTATCACACGTTTCTTTTATTCATTTTCACATTGAAACCAAGTAGCGTCTAAGATACGTATTTTATTCAGGGAAACGGAATGGTTCGTTATTTATGAACTATTGGTAGGAGCCGTTAAAACAACAACAATAATAATAGTAATAATTAGTTTTAAACCGTAAAACTTCATGGCTTTCCTATTTTAATATTCTTAAGAATCTTAATTCTTATAGCGAGTTCTATGTGAAAAAAATCACATCGTTATATATTTGAGCTTAAGAACTTTAACTATTGCAATATGAATCATATATACGAATCCTGGTCATTATTTTAAGAGGAGGATAAAAATAAAATGAGAAGATTTGAAATTGACAACTTTTTTTCCATTTCACTGGATCAGCCGTCAAGATTTCTATCTTCTCTTCTTTCTTTTCATTCATTTTCTCATTGAAACCAAGTAGCGTATATTTTCTCTCTCAAAGCGATCAAAACGGAATAGTCCATTATTTATCAGGAATTGTCTGGACATAAAATTCCTGCAAATTAACGAAGTGGGTGGTGACAAGGAAAATAATAAAACATCGAGTGGAATATCCTCAGCTGGAATTTGTTTTTTTTCCAGAAAATTCATGGTAAAGGCATCAACACGGTGTCATCTGCATATGACATTCAAAACATGACCACTTGTCTTCTATTTTGAATGCGAATGTACTAGAAAAAGAAACACTGTGGTTTGAAGTATTTTTGATGTTTAATCGATCTCACACTGTTTATATCTGTCAGTATGTGTGTATCACACACACAAACCCACACGCATATTCTCGTCTATATTTTCCTGACAGTGTTCTTTATGCAAACACACACATATACTCATACGTTGCTCAATGTTCATTGAGTTTAAACTCATTATTTCAAATGTATCTTTATATATGCATTAAATGCATTTTTTATTCTATTTTTTTAATATATAATAAATATTTGGTTGTGTATAATATACATAAAAGTTTTGAAACTTTGGTATGAATAACACATTTGAAATAATGTGTTAATATTAAATAAAATAAATATGCCTATGATCCACTGGGCACACAAAGACACACACACAAAGACACACATATAACAGTATGTGTTTGTTAGTGAGATTGAGTGTGTGTTTTTGTGTGCATTATTTTTTACCGAAAATAATAGTTATAATATATATATATATATGTGTGTGTCTGTATATATATATATATATATATATATATATATATATATATATATATATATATATATATATATATATATACGCTTACATAAAGAAGTACAGATACACATAAAATAGCCCCAACAGAGACAGAGACAGAGAGAGAAATAAGCACTAACAGAGACAGATGAGAGAGAGAGAAAAGAATTAATGGATACACCCATATATATATATATATATATATATATAAACATAATTATATATATATATATATAATTGTATTTTTGTTCATTCGAATGTATTAGCCTTTCGCTGTTGTAATCCCATAAAATTATCACATTTATGAATTACCCATACGACAATTGGTTCCGACTGCCATTTTGGTCTGCCCTTGTCTCGTACTTTTCTCCACTTGACCTACAAAATACTTTCAATATTTTCCTATATCCTTTCCCCATTTTTTTTTTCAAATTAGTTTTTCACATTAGTTTCTTTTCAATTTATTTTTATTCCTACTTTAATATATTTTTTTTATTATTCTTTCATTTTACTGGCTGGTTTAAAACTTTACTCCATGTGTTTTCATTTATAATTGCTCTTTTTATATTGGCTTGCGTTCTTTCTATTTTTTCATTTTTTTTTTTTTTTTTTCAATTAATGGTAGATGCACCCATCTGCAACTGTTTAACTAGGTGGCAAGTCACTTCGTATTTTTAGAATTTCATGACAATTATGTGTTGTTATAATGAGTGTGGTAACTATAAAATAATTTTCAATATACAGGGAGTTATTACACTTGAGAAATTAGATCTTTCGATGAAGTTCCGAAGGTTTCACGCAAATCTGTTAAAAATTTGCCTGAGAAATTATTTATGACCAGGAAGACGCATTTTATTAGTAGAGAACACTTACGATATGACATTTTTAATTATTTCCGTTACTGAACAGAAAATCGTATGGATATCGTTTTATTATGTGAACTGGAAAAATTTCTTTCTAAATTTTGAAAATTATTTAAGTAAATAAATGGAAGTATTATATAATTTGTGCGTGAGGGCGGACGAGCGATAATCGGTGCAGAAAGTAGGATTGGTGTGTCGAATTCAATCTCAAGCCGAAGGCTTTTCTTTAGTTTCGCACAGATTCACTTGGAAAGTCAAGAAGTGATATCTAGCCTACAGAGTAGATGACAAAAGCAATACGGGTTGGGTAATCTACCTTTCAGTGGCTAAAATCAATAGAAGGTTATCAGATTCACAACCAGTTGGGTATAGTGCTACATAACCAACCCAGTAAAAAATATACTTGCTACTGGAGTTAACGCAGAACACTTACCTTAGTGGGAAATGAGATATTACTCAAAATACGACTGTACAGTTTTTAAATACACACACACAAAAATATATATATATATATATATCACAAATATATATATATATATATATATATACCAATAATTTCTGTCATATATATATATATATATATATATATATATATATATAGTGTGTGTATATGTCAATATATAGATAGTGATATAAACAGGCGTTGTTTTACTTTCTCGTGTTATTTTTCTCGTACTTTCTTTATCTATTATATTTTCCATTTCATTTGATTCTATTTATGTTTTTCTCCCGCCATTTTATATTTCAATGCTAATTCACTAACGTCTCTCTCTCTCACACCCACATATATATATATATATATATATATATATATATATATAGTTTTTATTTGTCTATATACAATTTTTCTACTGCCATTTCACTACTCTCAATTCACTCGAATTTTTCACATCTACCTCGGCTTTTCCTTTGCTACGCCACTCCCTCATTCCTACTTTTTTTTAAATATTTATTTAAAGTTTCTTTTGTATTTTCTTCCTTTACCTTTACTCTTATACGATTATTTGTCTAAATTTCTCCTTACTTGTTATTTAACTTTTCACAACTCTCCCAATTGTTTTTCTCTCTATATTTGCTTTTCCCTTTCTTCTCACACAGTAAATATCTTTCAAAATATGTTTTCCCTTTCTCTATTGCTTAATACTGTCACTAGTTCTACTTGTGTATTCCAGATTTTCTTCCTTTTTTACTTTCTCTTTGCAGATAATCCCCCCTCATTCATTTGCTTTCTTCTAATTAAATGCTTCTCCTTCATTTTATTCTATTCTCTCTCGCGCCAACTCTGTCTCAATTAATCTGTTTTTTGCTTTTTTCTTTATGTGTGTGTGTGTGTGTGTGTGTGTGTGTCTGTGTGTGTGTGTGTGTGTGTGTGTGTGTGTGTGTATCTTGCTCGGTAAATCTTTTAAATTATATCCCCCTTTATCCATTCCCTTGTTCGTACACACGCATTTCTGTCGACATATTCCAAATGCACTTTCCTTTACATTATTTGGTAGACAATCTTCTGGACATGAAGTTTTTATTTCACATTACCCTCGCTCATTAAAACTCATTTGTATTTCAATGTTTTTTCAAACTTATTTTAATTTTCTCTTTTTAGTCATAATTTTTGATATTAAATTTGTCTTCTCTTAATTTCTATAATTCTTTCAGATTTTACCTTTCTTCTTCTTCTTAAACCGATTTCACACACACACACACACACACACACACACACACACACACACACACACACATATATATATATATATATATATATATATATATATATATATATATATATATATATATATATGAATTGATTTTATAACACTGGGTTTTGCGATCGTCAGACAAACCAGGGTCAGAATCTCACATCAATACTACTAAATATGTTAGCTCTATCACTGATATTCAGCGCTTCCCAATAAGTACCGCGCATATATATATATATATATATATATATATATATATAAATATATATATATATATATATATATATATATATATATATATATATATATATATATTATATTTTGTTTATGCAAAACTAGGTAATCCGTATGGTAGACCCAAGGAGGATGATATCCAGAGAGCTCAATGTAAATTCAGAGCAAATATGTTTGAATAAAAACAGATCACTTTAAGGTTCCATGTAATAAGTTATTTCACCACAACCCTTTTAAACCTATATATATATATATATATATATATATATATATATATATATATATATATATATATGCATTTTACATATATATTTTTTTTTTCAATCATATATCACTTAACTTTTCTATCCTTTTTTTCCACACGCATTTATTCGCACCATACTTTATCACATATTTCATCTCTTCGACGATTTCTTCGCCATTGCAGCGTATTCTGGCTTTCTTTTATCTCGCCATTGAGTCGTTAATGTTTTCCTTTCTTCCTCTCGTATATTCATCTATGTAGCGAATTATTCCACTTCAAAGCAAGATCAATAGTTGTGTTGTCCATAAAAGTCAAACAAGACAATGCGAAAATCAATGATTCAATTTGAAATAAACTGAATGAAAAAACCTAACTAGAAAAAGAAGAGCAACAAAGATCAACATTTAGAAAAGCTCTGCATTTTCATTGTTTGATTTTCATACGAGTTGAATAGATTGCATTTATCCGTGGCGAATAGAAAGAGAAAACACAATTTCTACGCTACTCTCGACTGGAGAGTACGAATGAAATCATTTTTTTTTTCATAACAATAACGTATAATGTATAGAACTCACTCGACACCTAAATTGATTCGTTGCCCTCACGATACGTATTAGTGGGATAAAGTATTGTAAAAATGATTTTCCCAACCTCAAATTAACTCTAAGTCTTATTCGCTAAGCTGCTCTACAGTCTTGTCTAATGTAACAAGGACATTTTTGTAGTCAGAGTTAATATTTCATGTTTACTTGCACCTAGTTATAGATGCATGATTCAAGATATTTTCAATGCAATCATTTATTCAAGTTGTCTAGTGAATTGATGCAAATGATTTTTTTTCTGTTTCGTATTATCCATAGTTTTAAAACGATTGCGGACACCAGTCTGTTTTATACAGTACTCTACATAATTTTTCAAATTTTTGTAATGCTACAAATTGGAATTCATTTGACATGTTCCGTCTTGCCCTTTGAATAATATAAAATTCTTTGTACTTTGAAGGTACAAAATACGTTTTATTGTGATACAAGCGACAATTACGATAACGAAATCATCTTTCCTTTGGAAAATGTATGCAGCCCAACCCTGTGTCAATCATTTATAGAACCATCTTTTGCTACAATTACAGCTGAAAATCATTGGAATATGTCTCTACCAGATTTAGACATCAATTTTGGCATATTCTTCTTAGTAAAATAGTTTGGGTTCAATCAGATTTTATAAAGACCTTCTCTAAACACTAATCTTCGAGTCTCTCAACATATTCCCAATTGGATTTAGGTCTGGTCTTTGATTGGACCATTCTAACACTAGCTTTGATATAAACCGTTTCATTTTAGCCCTGCCTGTATTTTTACGGGCTGTGTACCACCGCCCAAGTCTCATGTCTTTTGCAAAGCGTAACGAGTTTCTTCGTAGATTAACCTGTGTTTTTTGTCTCCATCCATATTCCTATCAACTCTGCCTAGCTTCCCTCTCAGCTCTGAAGAAAGGCAACCCGATAGCTTGATACTCTCATCCCCAGGTTTCGCAGTGGAGAAGGCGTGCTTAGGTGGGGTGCCATTTTGCGCAGTGTTTTGCATTAAGGGCACAAATTTCAATTTTGGTCTCACGTGGAATCTCTCACATGGCTTGTAGCAAACTTCAAACGGGACATCCGATAGCCTTCATTTTAAAATGACATTCTTCTTAGCACTTTTTGCATAAAGACGACTAGGGTCTCTTCGACGTGGGTTAATGGTTAGCAAGCTTCCCTTGCCAGGACAATTACGCCGGAATAGAGATATCTAACCTCATTGGGTACCATATAACTTCGCCCCTTTTGCTACATATATACGACGCGTAGAATGTTACAATAAAGACCAGACTTGTGCAGTGCACGAGTAATGATTAATAGTTGCCCTGAGAACAGATTCCAACACCTGAGAAGTTGATCTTTACAGCTTCCCCAGGGTTAAATTGTGTTTTTATATTGCTTTGATGCCTACATTCCTTGATGGTCTCTCATTTTAAGTGTTCAACAGTGTCATGGGATATCTTTTTTTAAAAATTAATCCTGCTTCATGCTTCACAAATGTATGATATCGTAAAGCTGGCTAGCTGCTTGGTTTCCATAATTATGTTTGTGTATTAATGTTATCTAATAAACATCTGAGACCTTCAATGAATAGGTGTATTTAAAATAGAGTATAACGAATCAAGAGATGTCACACTTTATCTATCCTGTCCTTTACTTAAAAGAAATCAGAAGAATCAGGTGGAATCTATTGAATAAGGAAGTGTGTTCTGAGGGCAAATGGTTGTACTGAATTTTACTTAAGGCTTTAACAGCAAAGGAAATTGAAAACATATGCTCTCAACACTTTTGAAAAGTTTATTATATTATATAAAATAAGGTAATATTTCCCAACACACTACAAAATGGTGCACTCTTAAGGGTTGGTGCATTGCACAAATAGTTAAAAGTCTGGTTGTAACGTGAGAAAATCGGGGGAAAGTTCATAAGAGTTTAATTGTTTTTCAGCACTAATATATATATATATATATATATATATATATATATATATATATATATATATATATATATATATATATATATATATATATATATATATGGGGATAATAAAAGTATGCACATACACAAAAAATATTTCATCTTCAGGTGTTATACATGTGTGTATATGCATATACATATATGTATATATTCATATATATATGAGTGTATGTAAATATATGTGTGTATGCATATACATATAGGTATATATTCATATATATGAGTGTGTAAAATATGTGTATGTATGCATATACATATATGTATATATTCATATCTGAGTGTGTGTAAATATATGTGTGTATATATATATATATATATATATATATATATATATATATATATATATATATATATGTAACAGAATAATTACCGAATTGTTAGATTAAACTTTGAACCGTTGCATCTTAAAAATGATTAAAGATAACTTACTGCAATTCTCCTATATATATATATATATATATATATATATATATAATATATATATATATACAAAATTATTCCATCGTAACAGTAATTGTCGAATTGTTAGATTAACCTTTGAATCTTCGTAATGATTAAAGATGTATTTTTTATAACACTATGGGACTCTATTTTAAATTAAAAAAAAGGTTTTTTTAGTTCTTGTTGTGACCTTCTGATTCAGTTTTTGTTTCTCTTCTCTTCTCTTTTAAATTTTTTCACCATTCTCTTGATGTTTCTTGAAGGAACTTTTAAGATGGAAGCCAGAGTTTGACTGTTGCTACCATTACTGCAGTCCTAAATTTTCTTTTCCCTCCCAGAATTGCTCAGTCGGTGTTAAATCAAAAACATTTTAAACTGTTCTTTTTCTAACTGAATAACTCAAAGGGTTTTTCTGTGCTTCTAACGACATATGGTGTCAATTGGACAAAACGTCTTAACTGAAAATATGTAACGCAATTAGTTTAGTGTTTTGTTAGATAATAAAAATTTTGTAGGATGGCTAATTATCCAATTACCTTAAACGATTTTGAGAATATTACTTTTACATCCGATATATATATATATATATATATATATATATATATATATATATATATATATATATATATATATACTAGCAGCGTTGTCCCTGCTTGATTCAAAAAATCGTACGACTCATACAGCAATCGCTATCACTTGACTTTGCTCTCTTCCTTTGCCTTTAAAAGAAGTGCCCTTTGCCGTGCTGATGTTGCTACATGCCTTACTTGCCTATTTCACACTACGAATTTTTTCTAAGCTCTATACTCAACATTAAATCTGTTACGAAAAAAGAGCTAAAAAAATGAACATAAAACAATCACCTTTAAAAAAGGACACGTAACTGGGAAAACCGAATGAAAAAGTATGTCAACAACAATTACATTTTCACACCCAACCCAGTTCTGCGGAATCAGAATCAACGTTGAGTTTAAGCAACCGAATAAGCCAATTGAAGTAAAGTGTGATGCAGATTCAAATTTTTCCGACTTGTGACGAATGCAGCTATCGATTTTTTTTGCATGCTAGTTAACATTCGTGTCAGTCAGCTGTTTGTTCTCACGCGGGCCAATAGAAT